AGTCCCCTAGCAGAGCGAGACCTCCGTTCCCCAAAGGGAAGAGATAATACTAGGGGATTACTTCGCCAGACTTTCCTGGACCCCTGAAAAGTAAAATAAACTGGGCTGAATGCAGCTGCCCAACTAGCGATGAAGAAGAAACTGCAGGTGAGCTACCTGCTTCGCAATTCTGCCGATCTGGCCAAGGAACAAGACGTGAAGGTCAAAGAACGCTGGGTAGCTGACAACTGTGCTACCCAAACGAAAGGACCAACACTGGAGGATTATACCAAAACCTGTAGCCGAAGAATTATGCTCACTAAGCCAATATTCAAGTTGCCATTTAGCCCAAGATGCAATAAACATTCTGCCGCTGAAAGAAAGTTGGATACTACCAACATATTTGCTCCAATTACTTGGAAGAAGTGGAGTCTGAGCTGGATCTGCTCCTCCTAGGAACAGGCGCACTGCCTGAAGCTGCGTTTTGATTCTTAACACGATTGAGCTCCTCCTGGAGTGTCTCTAGCTTCTGCTGGAGGTGCTTGATCTTGATATCCTGGAGACCACATTTTAACTCCAGTAGTTTTGAACTGGACGGGGCAGAACCACTGGAAGGGGCGGCATCGCTGTGCCCAACCTTTGCACGCTTACTAGCGTGCTCTGGAGAAGTCGAACGAGGACTGTCGACATGTTTACTGGCAGAAGGTGAGTCGGACACGCTATCGCTGTCCAAAACTGGAAGCTTGTCTTCCTTCTTGGTGATCTGAACCTTTACCTTAGGCTCCACATTGAATTTCTCGCATACTGCCAAATAAAGAAACTGTTCTTGCCCTTTGTACTTGTCCAAGAAACGGTCCAACTGATCCAGCATCTGCGGTTCGTACTGCTGGAAGACATCCGAGATCAAAAGCTTGAACTGATGCCTGACTTTGAAATCCTGGCCCTGCTCTCTGTCGGCTTCTACCTGACGAGCGGCCTTATCTTTGGGATTGGCCTTCGCTGCCACAAGAGGCGGCGGTGGCTGCGTCTTCTCACTGTCGGCTTCTACCTGAACAGTGGGCTTGTGTTTGGACTGAGACTTCTCCCTGCCAACTACTACCTCAGCCTTGATCCTTTCTGTGCGACCAGACTTCGCTGCTGACGGTGGTGGCGGAGGTGGGGGAAGTGGCTGGGACCTCTTCCCATGCCACGGAAGGCCGCACTTACATAACGGCTGAGAAGCAATTCTATTAGGCCAGATCCAACAGTCTGTTCTGCCACGCGGGCAAAGTAACTTTGAATGCGAAACAACAGGAGCTCCTACTCCTTCTTTGCGAACCCAAGGCGTCCTGGAAGACATGGCGGAAACTGCGGCGCGTGGGTGTAGGAGAAAAGGGGGGGCAGGCTGCTCCTGCCCAGCTGGCTTGAGCGGTGGCAACTTGAGCCAAAATGGCTTGAGCCAAAATGGCTTGAGCCAAAATGGCTACGGGGGAGGAGGAGGAGGAGGAGGAGGAGGAGGAGGAGGAGGAGGAGGAGGAGGAGGAGGAGGAGGAGGAGGAGATCGGGCGCTCTGGCTGACCCCGTTTGCACTGACCCCCGTCTCAAGGCTCCCGACCTGGCCCCACTCCGCCCACCTTCTCGGCGGGGGCGGGGGCGGGGGCGCCGGGAGGCGGCGGCGGCGGCGCTGCCGACCCAAGTCTTCGACGACTTGTCGCCGCGCCGTCTCTTAGGAGCGCCCCCAAGTTCAAGTCGGGCCTGTACAGGAAGGATTCTCAGAAATAGTCAAAAATAATACGGGGGCGATTTTTCGACTATTCTTGATCAATGTGGAATATTTGTTTTGACTATTTTATGCTTTTCGTCCAAAATCGGCCTGTAGAGGGACATGCCCGACCTACGCCCAAGTAGACGAAGCCAGCACCGCGGCAAACCTTCATGCGAACCTTGCGTCCGAGGCGGAAAAATTGCCCTGGGGCCCGAGGCGCCCTCTCAAAGACGGGGAAAGGGTCGCGCGGCGGAGCGAACGGCGACACGGCATATCATCTCTTTCCGTACCGGCGCTGCTTCCCGATTGCATCATCGGGAGCGGCCAAGAGGGGGGTGTCCAAGAGGGGGGGTGCAAATCATGACTGGCGGCATGTGCGCGGCCCAGCGGGGGGCCAGGAACGTAATGAAATAAGAAGAGGCGCCATGAGATCTGGGGAAATATCATGGCCCACGCCATGATATCCACCCCCCCCTAGTCATCACCCCCCTCTTTTCCGCCCCCGACGATTGCAGCAGCAGCGGTTCCGGGGCGAAAAGCTACCGCCAGGGAAAAGGTCGGCACCCCTGGGGCCGCGGATGGTGCCTCTCCGCGATGAGTGGGCGATGAGGGGTAGAAGCGTTCCCCCCTGGTGCCTTTCCCCTCGCATGAACGTTGCCCCTTGGTTATCGAGAACACAACTCGGCTCTCAGGCGGCCGTTCGGGACGATCCGTGCTTCCCCGGAACGCCCTCGGCGAGGCGCAACTGACAGAAGGCACCCCAGAGCCAGAAGGAAGACCGACGAGAACCGACGAAAACGTCAGAAAACCTCGAGTCTCAATTCCGCGCGTATCCTCCCCCGACCCTGAGGTCCGACGTTGCGGAACAATGGCAACATCGCGAACAGATACTCGACCAGAGCCCAGGACCCGATCTTCCTGCAGCATTTCTCGAGCTGGATCGACCTGTGATGGTCCCTTGGGCCCGAAATTGGGCGAAGGCGCCCGTTGTGCACGCCAATTGCGACGTTGCCCCGCCACGGCCGCCGCCCGCCGCGGCCGCAGTCTGGGTGGCATCGGCTTGGCCGTGGGCGGCGCGGGGCCCCAACCCCGGAATGTCCTCGACGAGGCGCGGCGGATGGAAGGGCACCCCCGGGCTGGACAGCCGCTGAGAAGCGACGAAAACGCCCGAAAACCCTCGAACCTGGATTCCGAGCCTATCCTAGGGAAACGAACTCTATATACACCGACGCTTTTTCCGAGGAGCGCGGATCCTGGTGTATACGGGATCCTGGTGTATAGATGTTTCGTTGTTTCCCTGGGGAAACGGGGGAAAAGTATACACCACACCACCCCGACGTCGTCCCCGACCCTCGAAAAGTCGTGGGACAGAAAAAACAGCCCGCCACTGGTAATGTATATGTTCCAGTTTCCGATATCCCCCGAACGCCTCTCGGCGAGGCGCAACCGCTGGAAAGCACCCCGAGGCTGGGAGACCGTCGAGCACCGACGGAGACGCCCGAAAACCAACGCTGCCCCTGATTTCCGCTTTCCCAGAAGAGCAAAACAACACACAAGCAGGAACTTTCGGAACTCCGCGCAGATTTCCTGGACTGGCGCTTGACCCCCCCCTGGCGCGCAGAGCGCGCCAGTGGGGTCCAGCGCCGATCCAAGAAATCCGCGCGGATCTCCGAGACAGTTTGTTTACGCCATTGTTCCTTCTTAGATGGTTCCCGCCACAGCCCGCGACGCCCAGCCCGCCACGGCCCGCGACGCCCTCGACGAGGCGCAGCTGATGGAACGCACCCCGAAGCTGGAAAGCCGCCGAGGCCTGACGAACACGTCCACGACAAGATTTGACCGATCTATCACTGCACCGACCTTGTAGATGCGCATCCGTCCCTCCTCCTCCTCCTCCTCCTCCTCCTCCTGGCATTCCTGGCACTTCTCCTTCTCCTCCTCCTTATCCTCCTCCTTCTCCTCCTCCTCCTCCTCCTTCTCCTCCTGGCATCTCTGGCCTTTCTCGCTCCGAGCAGCATCTCGCAGACGCCCGGAGCGCGGAGCGCCCCGCAGCAGCCCACGAGGGCCGTGCGGGCACTCAGACGACGGCCGCGGGTACCCGACCTCGCGGAGGGGAAGGGGGGGATCCAGGGACCACTCATTACCTCGGAGGGAATCCAAAACCCTCCTCCTCCTCCTCCCCGTCCTCCTCGCCCTCCTCCGCGATTTCCGCTTCCCCCGCCCGCCACGGCCGCCGCCGCCGTCTGCGTGGCGTCCAGCTCGGCCGCAGGCGGCGCGGCGCCCGGCATCTCGACGGCGGGCCCGCCCGGCGGCGGCGCCGCCCACCGCGCCTCCGCCGTGCGCAGCGCGTCCGACGCCTTCGGGGTGATCACGGTCAAGAACTTTTGCTTAGCGTACCGTGGCGGCGGCCCCGACGACACGCTACTCGAGCGCTATTCGGCGCTACTCGGCGCCATTAGGCGCTGCTGGGCGCCATTGAACGCCATTTCGCGCTATCAGGGGCCATTCGGCAGTAGACCTTTAATCCAAGACGGGCGGGAACTTCTGTGATTTACGGTCTGCGGTCGGATTTTCGGTGCTTAGCGTGCCGCGGCGGCGGCCGACCGTGTTGGGTGGGGTGGGGGCGATTCGTGTCAAATGATACCATGTGGGCCACTGTCGCGCGTTGACCGCGCGCGTATGTCGAACGCCCTACAAAACATCCATCACCCGACGCGAAGGCGCCGTCACTGGCCTGCCGTCGTCGTTGTCATCACCATTGCACCAACATCGCTACCGTCATCATCGCGTCTACCTTTGTCGACGTTGACATGATACCGCGCCCGCCCTGGTCGCCGAGTCGCACTGAATTGCCCGGTGGGAAGTGCTCAACGGTCAGCGCCACCGCGGCCGCGTCGGTAGCGCCGAACCATTTGGCCGGTGCGCGCGTGCATGCGCGGGCTAGCGCGGCCGCAGAGATGCACCAACCAATTCCAGACACTCGTCGCAATCGCAACCGCATGGGTTTTGCAAACTTATTTGCAAATGGGTGGGTGGGATGATTGCGCGAGCAGTGGGGTGGACAACTCACTGCGAACAGAAATGAATTGCACCACTCAGGCTGCACCACATCGCTTGCACAATATATATATATATATATAACAGCGTAAATGGCACCCCATGTGTTGCACAACGTACATTGCACCACGTAGGGTTCACAACATATATAACACCACAGCAGCTGCACTACCGAGGCTTCACCGCATATGTTGCGCACCGTAGATTGTACCATATATGTTGCAACACCCAGACTGCACAAGATAGCTTGCACCGAATATGTTGAAAAATCGATTGCACCATATAGATTGCACAACATACGTTGCACCACAACGAGTGCACAACATATATGGTGCCACGTAGATTCTCCTTTCCAAAAAGAGAATCGACTCTCTACCCCCCCCCCCTCCCCGGACTTATCCGTTCCCCTTTCGGGTATGTAAATCAGATATGATTCTGACCACTCGTCCATCCTAAATATGAAATCGTACCATCCCAGGCAGGCCGGGTTCCCCCCCCTGAGGTTCCCTTGCAACAAAAAAAAAACATTATGCGGTGACATTTTTTTGTTCTAACATAGCACTTTTTCACAAATCCCTGTCAAAAGATGGGACGAAGTGCGCACGCGCGCGTCGTCGCGCGCGCATGCCGAAATCCTTCAAAAACCTTCGGTGCCGGAAGGGTTTCGCAATCGAGTTTCCAAAACACATACAAAAACACAGGGTTTCGCAACACTGATTTGCTAACAAAAACTTCCGCGCGAGCTCTTGCGAAATCTTAAGAAAACCATCGGTTTTTCAAGATTTTCACAAAATGCTACCAAACGGGCTTCGCGCGCGCGCATGTCGAAATCTGTCGAATGCCCTTGCGCGTGTGCCGTCGCGAGAATCCTCTGCAAAAAATTGGACGAAGTGCAGACGCGCGCGTCGTCGCGGGCGTCTGCCGAAAACCTTCAAAACCCATCGGTTTCGGAAGGATTTCAAATCGTGCGTCCAAAAAACCTACAAAAACCTAAGGTTTCGCAACACGGATTTTCAACAAAAGCGTGCGCGCGCGCGCTCTTGCGTCGTCGTCGTCGTCGTCGTCGCCGTCCTCCCTCCTCCCGCGTCGTCGTCGTCGTCGTCGCCTACGTCGTCCTCTGTCTTTTCTCGTGTTCGTCGTCGTCGTCCTCTTTGGCGTCGTGGTCGTTTCCGTCGTCGTTGTCGCCGTGGTCGTCCGTCCTCCTCCTCCCACGTCGTCGTCGTCGTCGTCCGTCGTCGGCGTCTCGTCGTCGGTTCTATTTCGTCACCGTCGTCGTCGTCGTTGTCGTCGTCGTCTTCCCTCCTCCCTCGTCGTTGTCGTCGTCGGCGTCGCCGTCCTTCCTCCTTCGTCGTCGTTCGCGTCGCCGCCGTCCTCCCTCCTCCCTCGTCGTTGTCGTCGTTGTCGTCGTTGTCGCCGTCGTCGTCCTTCCTCCTCCCTCGTCGTCGCCTTCGTTGGCGTCGTCGTCGTCGTCGTCTTCGTCGTCGTCGGCGTCGGCGTCGTTGTCGTCGTCGAAGTCGTCGGAGACGTCGTCGGTGTCGTCGTCGTCGTTGTCGTCGGTGTCGTCGTAGTCGGTCTTAAGAGGTTTTGCAAACCAAGTTGCGGGTGGGAGGGTGGGATGTTTGCGCGAGCAGCGGAGAGGACAGCTTCAAGTTGAGCAAATGAGCACTACGTAGATTATACAACACAGATGGCACAACACATATTGCACCACGTAGATTGCATACCGTATATTGCCGGGGACACACTGCTTGGGGTCCACCACGCTGGCTATAGCATATACATACGTTTCATCGAGAGAAACACAATCGAGCGGGGATGGCGAGCCTGCGCCACCAGGCTGGAGCACGCTCTGCCCGCCTGCTGCCACAGGTCGCCGAACGCCCCAGCGACATCGGCGGATGGCCCGGCCTCCTCGCAGCCCAGGGCCTGGCCCAGTGACCTGTTGCCGACCGTCGTCGTCGCAAGCCGCGATCGTCGCCGTCGTCGGCGATCGTCGCCGTCGATCGTCGAGGGCCGTCGATAGTCGTCGCCGTCGTCGTCGTCGTCGTCGTCGTCGTCCTCCTACTCCTCGTCCTCTCGTTATCGTCGTCGTCGTCGTCGTCGTCGTCGCCGTCGCCGTCGCCGTGGCCGTCGCCGTCGCCGTGGCCGTCGCCGTCGCCGTGGCCGTCGCCGTGGCCGTGGCCGTGGCCGTGGCCGCGGCCGTCGCCGTCGTCGTCGTCGTCGTCGTCATCGTCGTCATCATCGTCGGCGGCGACGTTGTCGTCGTCGTCGTCGTCGTCGTCGCCTTCCTCGATCGATCGATCGACGTCGGAGATTCGATACGTTCCTGCTTCTGTCGTCCAAATTTCTTACTCGCTGGGCGGTTTCGGGCCCAGTGACCGTCAGACTCGATCCCGGACGGGAAACTGGCCAGGATGCACCCCGCGAGGGGTACAGGGACAGATTCTGAGCGGATTTTGGCTGATATCGTCGACGTTGGACCAAAGTTCGAGGATCGAAGTTCCAGGATCGAGGTGTTCGGGCGCGCTTGGGGATCCTTTGGGTTCCTGAGAATCCTCCAGTCGCCGCGTTTGTGTTCCCCCCCAGAATTCCGGCCAGAACGCGCCAGGGCAGGCCCTGCGTTCGTCGTCGTCGTCGTTGTCGTCGTCGTCGTCTTCCTCTAGGTCCTCTAGGTCCTTGGCACACCACGTCCCGCCCTGCAACATGTGGCACAAAAACGAAGGTGATGAATGTTCAACACTGGAGGTCAGCTCCGATGCAGCGGAATCGGCTTCCCGAACGAAACCTTAGAGCCTGGGTCACCCCCGCTCTTCAGAGGGCTCACGGATCTGCTAGCATCTTTGTTCCGAGGGCCCTGAAGGCACCCCTTAGCGAGGAGCCTGACCTTCTTAGTGCAGAACGCCCCCCCCACACACAAACTGCCCCATATTCTGCCCGCATCCCCGCCCGCACCAGAGTCGATGTGTGGGGTGTGCGAGCCGAGCAGCTCTGGGGAGGCCTGAACATGGAAACTCACAGATAGCGCCACGAGACCAGTCTCTGACGCCACATCTTAAGCAGGCGGATCTCTTGCCCACCTTGATTATCTGGTGACCGTTCGTCTCAGGCACCAACTCGAGAACCTCGGGAACTTTGAGCATCTTGGCCCGAAACCGGACCGCGTCGGCAAAATTTGGGCCTGGCTGAGGCCCCGCCGACACGGGCCAAAAGTAGGGCCCGACCCCAGACCTGGAAATCCTGGACCTTGAGCTCATTCGTTGATTTATGCTAGACTGAGCAGGGTGCTGCTGTGCGCCGAGCTTGGCTGCTTTGTCGGCCTAGCGATTCCCTCGCCAGGCCCACCAGGCTGTACCTTGGGTGCTAGCTTTGGCCAAAGACTGGTGACTTCTGATCTTGACAACGATGACTCCTCCTCGTCCTCCTCCCACATCGCCTCCTCCCGCGCCTCATGGTCACCGTTCTTCTCCCCATCGTTGTCGCCGCCGCCGCCGCCGTCAACGCAAAGCTCGGACGAGGCCTGCCCAGCACGGACAGCGGGCTCTCCGACGCGGCCGTAGGCTCCCGCGGCGGCGCGGCGCCCGCGGAAGCGGGGTGCGCGGCCGTGGCGCGCATGGAAAGGAGGTGCTCCTCGAGGCGGACCTCTTGAGGAGGAGGAGGGAAGGAGGAATGAAGGGAGGGAGGGAGGGAGAGAGGAGCAAGAGGGAGGAGGAGACAGGACGGAGCAGGAGGGAGAAGGAGAGAGGATGATGAGGATGATGACGAGAACGAGGACGAGGACAAGGACGAGGATGCGGGTTTTGTTGTTGATAATGATGGTGCTGATGGTGATGGTGGGCATGATGATGACGATGAAGAGGGGGACCAAGGTAAACCTAAGGCTCATCAGCGATGTTGGAGTCAACGCTCCCTCCACGCTCCCTCTTCGCAGGCCACTACAAGGATTCGTCTCCACTGAGGAAAGTGCCCCGCTACGAGACAATTCCCAACCATCCTGTGGTGTTGGGTCCTCGTTTTGCAGAGACGGTCCCCGCGTTCCCTCCTTCCTTCCTTCGTTCCTTCCTCCTCCTCCTCCGTCCTCCTCCTCTTCCTGCTCCTTCCTCATTTCGTGGCCCCATAGGGAGCTCAACCGAAAGCCCCAGTGGACTGGCTGCATGCGTCATCCACCACCCAGCCCAGCATTCCGTGGCCCCATAGGGAGCTCCACTGAAGTCTCCAGTGGGACCGCCCGCGTGCGTCATCCACCACCTAATACAACGCTTCGTGGCCCCATATGGGGGCTCCACCGAGCGCCCCAGTGGGACCGCCCGCATGCGTCATCCACCACCCAGCACAGCGTTTCGTGGCACCATAGGGAGCTCCACCGAAGGACCCGGTTGGAACGCCCGCATGCGTCATCCACCACCCAACACAGCATTTCGTGGCCCCATAGAGAGCTCCACCGAAGGCTCCAGTGGGACCGCCCGCAAACGTCATCCACCACTCAGTACAACGTTTCGTGGCCCCATAGGGAGCTCCACCGAAGGCCCCAGTGGGACCGCCCGCATGCGTCATCCACCACCCAGTACAACGTTTCGTGGCCCCCAATGGGACCGCCCGCGTGCGTCATCCACCACCCAGTACAGCGTTTCGTGACCCCATAAGAAGCTCCACCGAAGGCCCCAGTGGGACCGCCCGCATGCGTCATCCACCACCCATTACAGCGCTTCGTGACCCCATAGGGAACGCCACCGAAATCCCCACTGGGACCGCACGCCCGCGTCATCTACCACCCGGTACAGCGCTCCGTGGCCAAAATAGGAAGCTCCACCGAAAGCCCCAGTGGGACCGCCCGCGCGCGTCATCCACCACCCAGCACAGCATTTCGTGGCCCCATCGGGAGCTCCACCGAAAGCTCCAGTGGGACCGCCCGCGTGCGTCACCCAACACCCAATACAGCGTTTCGTGGCCCCATAGAAGGCTCCACCGAAGGCCCCAGTGGGACCGCCCGCATGCGTCATCCACCGCCCAGTACGACGTTTCGTGTCCCCACAGGGAGCTCCACACAAGGTCTCCGTGGCGGAACTCGCATGGTGGCCCACTGGTGGAGTTCGCATGGCGGCGACTTTCGATTTCCGGAAGTTTTTCGGTGTATTCGACGTATTCAAGCCGCTTTCGGGCGGCGCATCCCGGGCGGGAGCCAGCCTGCTCGCTCTCTCTGCTCCGCGCAGCGGACGACCCGCGCGCGTCGCCGGGACCCCTTCGGGGCGACCAGCGCGCGTCGCGGGGATTCCGTGCGGCGCCGCGCCCGCAGCCTTGGACGTGGGCGTGCACGGGCAAAGAAGGAGAAGAATAACGGGAAGGAAGCGGGCGCGATCCTCGTGAGAGGCGCGCCGACATGGGCGTCGACAGTTATGCACGTAGACTCACGCGCGCGCGGACTCATCCGCAATCAAATTCACTCGCTCTCAGTCTCTCGCACACAGTCGCTCGCGTTGTGTGCCCCGCCACGCATGTCGGCACGCCCCTCACACGGTTCGTGGCTCCATAGGAAGCGCGGGCGAAGATTATATTCATCATTGCGGTATCCGCAACTGCATATGGTTGGGTCCTTCGCCAGGCTAATTTTTTGAAGACCCTGGAGCGTGCCACAACACCGTTCTTGGGACTCCACCGCCACGAATCAACTTGATTGTTGCGTCTTGACGATCCTGAATCGTGCCAGAACACCACTCCTGGAACTTCAACACCTAGAATCAACGTAATTGTTGACCCCTGGCAATCCTGAGTCGTTTCCAAAGCGCCATTTCTGGTACGTACTGTCCACAGCGAGAATGCGCGGCGCGAAGGCGATGATCGCATTTTGAAAAGGAGCCGCCCTCAATCCGTGAAGCTCTGGAACTTTCTTCTCGCACGCATGTGCGCGGCGGTAAGGCAAAAACTACATGTTGAAAACGGCCTTCTCGCAATCCGTGAATTGAACCTTCTTCTCGCGCGAATGTGCGCGGCGCTACAATAATAACTACAGTTTGAAAACAGCTCGCCTTTAATCCGTTGAGCTCGTGCAGTCTTGTACAACGATTGTGCGCGGCGCTGAGGCGAGAGCCACGCTTTGGGAGCGGCCCGCCCTCCATGTGCGAAGCGGTTGTCGACTTCTGAGCTTCAGTGTCATGCGTAGTATGGAAGTCTCGGGTGAAACGCCCGGCCTGCCCTTCCGAATGGCCTCGGGGTGCGACGGGGAGGAGTTATTTTTGAGGAAGAGGAGTGGGGAGGATGAGGAGGAGGAGGGGGAGTAGGAAGAGGAGGGAGAGGAGCAAGAGCAGGAGGAGGAAGTTGAATGGGAACGGGACCAATGACGAAATCATGCCAAATAAAAAAGAAAAGTTCGTCTGCCCAACTCACACGACCAGCTTGAGGCCCTCGCGCTTGCCCGCCAACTTGACCCCCGATTGAACGAAATGGACGCCGCCTTTAGAGGTTGACCGCCGTATGTACCCAAAGCAATACGGTATTATTCGGCCAATCGCGCCCATCACTGCACGCATACCGCACACCGCGTCCCACGAAAACCAAAGTGGCGGAAATGGCCACCCGCCCGATGCACGCGACAAACCAAATTTCTCCCATCCAAAGCCGTAGTGCGCTGGGAATCACCAAGCTAATGCGTTGGCATTGCGGCGGGACCCAAGCGAGATACAAAAGCATACGACCTGTATCGAGCAAGGAAGCTGGAATGAGCTTAGACACCTTGAACATTCATTGTGGTACTATGCACCGTCGGTTCTAGGTCCGGGGGCAGAGTTCATCGCAACTTCTGCAAGTTTCTTAAGGCAGACGGAGGTTTCTGAGGAGGCTTTTGAAAGTCTTCGGACGTGTCTGAAGAATTTCAAAGGTTTCACTCGCTTCAAAGGTTTTGGGGAAGGGGGGAGTGAAGAACGATGGATGGATGGATTGAGGGGGGGGAGGAGGGGGATGAAGAGGAGAGGGGGCCAGAAAACAGAAGGAGGAGGGAAGGTGGGAGGGAGGGATGGGAGGAGAAGGGTGGAGGGGAGAGGGAGGGATAATGCGAGAGACATGGGCGAGGAACGAGGCGGGAGAGAGGCGGAGGGAAGGACAATGATAGGAACGTTGGGGGGAGGAGGAGAGGGGGGAGAGGGTGGAAGGAGGAAGGATGAGGGGGGAGGAGAGGGTTGCCGAGGAGGAGAGTGACCAGAATCATAATGATGATGCTGATGAAGAGGAGAACGAGGAGGAAGAGGAGGAGGAGGAGGAGGAGAAGGAGGAGGAGTAAGAGGGACAGGAGGAGGTGGGAGGTGAAGAAGAACGTGGAACCAGGAGCAGGATAGAGCAACGAGGATGATTGCAATGAGGATGATAACGAGGTGGATGATTAGGCAGGGAGAAGGGAGGCCGAAGCGGAGGCGTAGGCGGAGGGGGAGGAGGATGATGAAGAGGAGGAGGAGGAGGAGGAGGAAGAGGATGATGCGGATAATGCTGAGGACGCGGATGCAGATGATGTTGAAGATGATGAGGATGTCGATGATGATGCTGACGACGATGATGATGCTGATGGTGGTGATGTTGATGATGATGCTGATGCCGATGCTGAATCACATGCTGATGCTGCTGATGATGCTGTTGATGATGATGATGCGGATGCCGATGACGATGACCATGAAGATGGCGATACTGGTGATGCTGATGCTGTCGATGATGCTGCTGCTGATGAAGATGAGGTTGCTGATGGTGATGAGGATGCTTATGCTGATGATGCTGGTGCTGCTGCCGATGATGATGCTGCTGCTGATGATGATGATGATGCTGAGGCTGATGATGGTGCGGAGGACGATGACGATGAGGATGAGGAAGAGGAGGCATATGACTATGATATGCTGCTGTTGATGATGATGAGGATGATGATGCTGCTGTTGATGATGATGAGGATGATGATGCGGTTGATGATGATGATGATGATGATGATGATGATGATGCTGATGATGATGATGATGATGATGATGAGGATGAGTGTGATGCTGCTGATGGTGATTCTGATACTGCTGCTGATGATAATGCTGCTGATGATGCTGATGATGATGATGATGATGATGATGATGATGATGATGATGATGATGATGATGATGACCATGCTGATGATGATGGTGATGCAGATGCTGATTCTGATGATGGTGAGTATGCTGCTGTTGATGACGCTGTTGATGCTGTTGTTGATGATGCTGACGATGCTAATGATGATTATGATGTTGATGATGCTGACGCCGACGCTGATGCTGATGCTGCTGATGATGAGGAGGATAATGAGGAGGAGGAGGAGGAGGAGGAGGAGGAGGAGGAGGAGGAGGAGGAGGAGTAGGAGGAGGAGTAGGCGGCGGATGTGGAGGAGGAGGAGGAGGAGGAGGAGGAGGAGGAGGAGGAGGAAGAGGAGGAGGAGGAAGGTGGAGGAGGAAGATACGGAGAATGAGGATGAGCAGAAGCTCGAGCGGGGCCTGCGCTGGCATGCCGTCCAGGCTCTCCAAATAGAAGGCCCGGGCCTCGATCTCGTTCGCCAGCGCGCTCATCGTGCCAGGTGTCCTCAAGCGACCCCGAGGAGGATAATGATGAGGAAGGAGGCGGCGGGGATGGGGAAGGAGGAGGAGGAGGAGGAGGAGGAGGAGGAGGAGGAGGAGGAGGAGGAGGAGGAGGAGGCGGCGGCGGAGGCAGAGGGGAGGAGGTGGGGCGAGGGGGGATTTGAGGATGTGCTGGGGTGCTGCAGAGGGTTCTGGGTGCTCCACGGGCATGCTGAGGGTGCCCAGCGGGTTTCGGAGGACCAAGGACGGCCTTTTCCTCGGCGAGCGCTGGCTCGGCGACGCGCTGGTCAGAATGGTACGTAGAATCGGGCGAAGGGCGGAAGCGGGTGCAAAAGAGCAGGAGCGATAGACGGCAGGATCAGTCGGCGGCGAGCGAGCGGGGGAAGCGAGAAGCGGCGGGCCTTCTCAGAAGGCTCAGCCTCGGAAATCCTCGGGCCTTCTGAGAAGCACCGCAGCCTTCTGAGAAGGCCTCCTCCTTCTCACTTCCTCCCCTCGCTCGCCGCCGAATCAAGGACTGCAGGCACCGATCAGGTCAGAGCAAGCAGGCTGTGCGCCGGGCACGACCATCCGGCCTTGCGGCCGCGGGGTTGGCGCCTCGCCCCCTCGCGGGGGCTCTGCCGAGCCAGGCCGCCGAGACTGGCTGGGCGCACGCGGCAGGGCGCGGGAGGGACTCCTCCGGTGGTGCTGGCGGCGCTGCTTCCGCCGAGGGGGCCGCCTGTCCCACGGGCCGCTGTCGGGGACAGGGCGATCGGGCTCCATGACCGACGCCACCCCGGCGCCGCGGCGAGACAACCGCGGCGCGGCCGCGCGCGAGACGAGACGCCGCGGCGACGGAGCGCCGGCCGACCTGTGCGGGCGTGCCGGGCCGGCCGAGGCGGGCGACGACGGAGGCGCGGAGCACCCGCGGCCGGGCGCGGCGCTCCCCGCCCCGCCCGGCCCACGCCCGCCCGTGCGGCACGCCGTCGCCAAGGGAGGTGGGAAAGAAATACACACATGCCTGCGCCTGCCCGAGAGATGTCAGCCCCAAGGGGGCCGCACCCCGACGTCGATGGGTGCGGCCGCCCCGCGGGTTCCCGCCCGTTCTGGCCGCCTGCGCGGCGTGCCAGGTGCGAACGCCCCAAGGACGCGTGGATGGGAGAACGAAAAGCGAAAGCAACGATAGACAAAGCGCGTCCCACTACTCGCAAAGTAACTACTCGCAACCGGCCTGGACCCGCCGCGAGGGACTTAGGATCCACTACGTCGAGAAACACTTCTTTGGTCGCAGGTTTGCGAGCAGGCACCCTGCGAGTAGTGGAACGCGTTTGGCGCAACGAGGCCGCCGACCCCTGCCGGCAAGGCGCGGCGCGGCCCTTGCTGCGCACCGGCCTGCAGCGCCGTAGCCGCGAGGCCGCCGCTCGTGCCCGAAGACCGCCGTGCGCGGCGGTCGCCCGCTGTCGCGGGAACTGGCGCTCCCTGGGCCCACCGGCGCCTGCCGGGCGCCTCCGCCTCCTCGGTGCGCGGGCATGGCTTTTGATGAACAACTGCCGCCCGCTCTCGGAGATGGCACGTCCTGGGGGCCCGCGCCGGCTCGTCCCCGTCCGCCGTGGCTCCCGGGCCGCGGCAGTGGCTGCGCTGCTGGCGCCGCCCCTGAGGAAATCCTGGCTGGCCCTTGGCCTAGCCGTCGGCGTCGGGCGAGATGGTGCCCAGTCCCGTGCGCGTGGGGCGCCGCGGACAACGCTAGTGGCCCATGTTAGCCTCACCCGTCGAAGCGAGCGCCGCCGCCAACCCAATCTGCGCAAGCGTGCATCCAGGCATTCTTGGGAGGTGTTGGGGCTGATGCGCCAGGGGCCAGGGCAGCGGCAGGTGGCGGCACTCCTCTGGCAGCTGGACTGGCGGGTGGCGCGGCGGCTGGTCCACCTCCGGCTCCGGCCGTGCCCCGGGGAGGGCGCCAGGGGCGCCGGGGCCCCCGCCTGTCCCTGGCGCAGCAAGCGTCGCGCTTGCGCTTGCCCTGCGTCGAACGCGGCGGTGCCAGGGCGCCGAGGCATCGCGGCCCGCCGTGCGCCGCAGAAGCCGCGCACGGGCCCGAGGGCAGGCCCGCGGCCAGGGGCTGGGCCGATGGAGAGGGGGACACCGACACCCCCTCGCCTCGAGGCAGCCCCTGTGATGACAGTAGCACCCTCGTAAAACCTTTTCAGGCGGAGCGGAGCGGAGCGATACATGGTATGCGATGCAAGTGGCCAGTGGGAGCGCGGCATTGAAGGTGATGATGGTAGCTTGAGAGCGGGCAGCTGTGCGAGCGATGCTGTGATGCACGCTCGGCAACACCGCCTCCGCGCCAAGGGGGCGGTCGGGGCCCCGTGAGACCTCAGGACCTTGCCCCCCGCTCCAGCTGGCGGCGCCAGTCAGCAATCCAAAATGAGAATATGGAGATGGGGAAGGGGGACGAGGAGGAGGAGGAGGAGGAGAAGAAGAAGAAGAAGAAGACGAAGAAGGAGGAGGAAGAGGATAGTAATAGTGACCATGCTGAAGCCAACATGTGCTGCGATACACCCGCCCATCCCGAGTCCTTCTTCATAATATCTTAGAATCTGCATTTTTCACTGCGCGAATCGCGCCCGTGAAGGACGACCACCCCATGGGTCTGCAATTCTGGCGGGAATAGAATTTTGACACGCGACTGTTCTCCATTTCCAACTTGTAACAGATTCGAGAAAACGGGGCCATACAAATAAAGGACATGCGAAACGACAACTCCGCTTTGAGCGCCCCTCATCCATAAACTTATTGCTGGCACTGGAATTCGAAGACATCTGCAACACACCCAATTTCTAACATGAGTCGCTCTACATCCGTGTAGCTGCTGTTCAGTGGTAGCCTTATGTCAGTGAAGGTTTTTGCAATCTCAAATGAGAGCCCCATGTCGAAAGATAACCTCCCTCCATTCGTGTAACTGTTGCGCAATGTTGGAAATCGGTTAAACATTGATTGACGTCTAAGGCGAGAGCCCCGTTTTGAAAACGGCTCGTTCCGTCCACGTAGCTGCTGGAAGCGTTAAAACCGAATGCACGCTGCGTTAACACGCAACCACAACTTAGAAAACCACGCGCGCTCCATCCGTGAAATTGCTGGACATGTTTTAAATCGGGTGTACGCGGTGCCGCAACGACAATCCTATTGTTAAAACGCTTCGCCCTCCATCCGTGCTACTCTTATAGCAAAAAAAACGGATGTGCGCGCCGCTGCACTATTTTGAGAATGATTCGCCCTCCATCCACGTAGCTGCTGGGAATCCAGAGTATCAATATCGTAAGCGGAGAGGGGGTGTCAGGCGAAACGTTCGGCCTGCCCAAACACGCGTCTGGTGCTGCGGCATGCGAAAGGTATTTATGAGGGGTGGAAGGAGGAGGAAGATGAGGAGACTGTGACCCACGCTGATCTAAACTGCCTACGTAGTTTCGACCACGAGTCTTGTCCTGGGGTGCGTTTGTCCTGGGGTGCGTTCTGTACAGGATCTCGACGCGCATCCTTTTTCGGCGACGGGGAACCCTCCGTCGTCGTCGTCGTCGTCGTCGTCGTCGTCGTCGTCGTCGTCGGCGTCGTCGGTCGCCGACTTCGCCGCTGTCGGTCGCCGACGCGGTCTCCGCTCGCAGATCTGCGCATCCGAGGCGGCCGCGCGCAGCCTTTCCGCCGCGACGCGGTACACGACGACCGCCTCGCTCGACCGGCCCGCGGCGTCGAGGTCGAGCGCCGCCTCGCTGCCAACCCCCTCCTTGTCCTGCTCCTCTCGCCTCCTCCTCTGCGCAGCCTCCTCCTCCTCCTTGTCCTTTTGCCTCCCTCCGCGCATCCTCCTTATCCTCCTCCTCGTCCTCCTCTGTCTCGTCGCTCCTCCTCGCCCTCCCTGGCGCTCTCCTCCTCCCTCCCCGCGCCTCCTCCTCCTCGTCCTGCTCCTGAATTCTTTTTCCTCCTTATAAACAACTCCTTCCTGTTGCCACCCCCACCATAAACATTTCGGTAGGGCGAGCTGGGCGTTTCGCCTGATAATGCCTCACCATTTACGAGCCTGAAATTTGAGCCCTGCAACATTTACAAAAATCGAGCTCTCGCCTTGGTGCCGCGCGCGTTCGTCTTACACGCTTGCAGCAAATACAAACAGGGGGTGAGGGGGCTGGGAGGCAGGTCGAAGTGGGGCCCTTGCGTTAGCGCCACGCACGTTCGTTCCCCCAGAACAACACCTGCAAGCTTTGTTTTGTTTTTAATGGGCTCTCGCCTCGGCACCGCGCGCATTCGTCTCAAAACGTGGCAGCAATTACAGTGATTGGGGAGGGGGGGGGGGTCGTTTGCAAAATTGGGCTCTCGCCTTGGCCCCGCGCGCGGGCTCGTATTCAAAGCTCGCAGCCGCTACAAGGATGGAGTGGGGCTCTTTTTCGAAACGGGGCTCTCGCGTTTGCGCCCTCCGCGCTCTCTCGTCCCATACGTTTGCAGCAACTGCAAGCTCATGGAAGCGTGCTTATCTGTAGAATGCGGCTCTCGCTTGAGGCTTCTCTAAGCTTAGCGGCCAAACGATTGAGCAGATGTAGCAAGTGCACGGGTGGGGGGCGGTTCCTTTTCAAACAGGTGGTATCGTTGTAATCTTTCTCAGATAGGCTTCTTGTCAACACGGAGCTATCGCTGGACACATGGTTGAACTTTGTGGCAATGCCTTTTCGCATTTCCTATAGCTACTTCGGAGGATGCAGAGCAAGTCATTTCAAAGCGGGGCTCTCGGCTGAATGCCATTCCCATGAGGTGCTCGTCTTTCAAAGTGGCGCTTCCTGTGATGAGCAGGAAAGCCTTTGAGGACTTGTGAGGAGGGGACCTGGAACGGGAGTGCGTCTTGCAACATCGTTGATGCTTGCTTGGTTTACTCTGGCCTTCCTCGCCTCCTCCTCTTCCTGCTCGTCGCTCCTCCTCTTTCCGGTCGCGCCTTCTCCTACCCTTCTTCCTTTCCGCGCCTCCTTCTCCTGCTTATCCTCCTGGTCGCTCCGTGCCTCCCTCCTCCTCTTCTTCCCCCTCCCTCTCCCGCCCTACCTCCCCCTTCTCCCCCTCCCTCCCCCCTCCCCCCTTCCCCCTCCTCCCTCTCCTCCGCCTCCCCCTCCTCCCCTCCTCCTCCTCCTCCTCCTCCTCCTTCCTCCTCCTCTCTCTGCTTCTGTTCCTCCGCCTCCTCCTCCTCCTCCTCCTCCTCCTCCTCCTCCTCCTCCTCCTCCTCCTCTCCCTCCTCCTCCTCTTCCTGGCGAGCGGCGCCTCGTACGAGGCCTGGATGGCCCCGAACGTCTGCTCCGGGCCTCCTCCGCGGGGGGCGGTCAGAGGCACAGGCAGGCTCCCTCGATCTGCCCAAGAGCAGAGGCCCTGGATCCCCAGACGTTTCCCCCAGATCTGGGGGGGGAGGAGGAGGAGGAGGAGGAGGAGGAGGAGGAGGAGGAGGAGGAGGAGGAGGAGGAGGAGGAGGAGGAGGAGGAGGAGGAGGAGGAGGACGAGGAGGAGGGAGGAGGAGGAGGAGGAGGAGGAGGAGGAGGAGGAGGAGGAGTAGGAGGAGGGGGTGGGCGGGAGGGAGGGGAGGGGAATGCAGGAGGGGAGGCGAGAGAGGTGAGGAAGGCTGGCGAGGTGATGGAGGTGGGGCGGGTGGGGGAGGGGGTGGAAAGAGGGGACGAGAGGAGTGGGGAATGGCGTTGAGGCTAGGGAAAAATTGTTTTGGGGAGTTGGGGAAGGGGGGTGGGAAGGAAGGAGGTGCGAGGAATTGCATTGGTGCCGGGGAGAAGGACTGGCGTCGGGGGGTGAGGAGGAGGGGAAGAGGAGGAGAAGGAGGATGAGGATGAGGAGGCGGAGGACCAATGTAAACCCAAGACTCATCAAAGATGTTGCGCTACACCCTCCCTCCAAATTCTCTCCTCATCAGGCCCCACGAAAATATTTTCACAGTTGGAAGTGCCCCATTGGAAGGCAACGAATTGAACATCCTAAACCGTGCCAAAACACCATTCCTGGGGCTCCAACGTCGCGAATCAACGACACTGTCGCGTCCTGACAATCCTGAATCGTGTCAGAACGTCACTTCCAGGACTTCAACACCGCGAATCAACGTGACTGGCCCGCCCTCACAACTCTACGTCGTGCCAAAATACCAACTCTGGGACGTCAACCTTACCACTTCTTCAAACGGCCGTACTCTTAAGACAAATGTGCCCGGGGCTGACGCGAAATGGAAGAATTATCCATGAGGAAGCCGGATGGAGGAGGAGGAGGAGGGGAGGAGGAGGGCGTTCAGGGGAAGGATTGGAGGATGGAAGGCAGAGGAGGGGGAAAGAGGAGGAAGAAGAGAACCACACACATATGTCTGTCTGTCGGTCTGTCTGTCTGTCTGTCTGCCTGTCTGTCTGTCTGTCTGTCTGTCTGTATGTATGTATGTGTGTGCATGTATGTATGTATAGAGAGCGAGAGAGAGAGATAACGAGAGAGTGGGAGAGCGAGAGCGAGTGAGAGAGAGAGAGAGGAACAAACAAACAGAGAAGCATATAGACATATGTGTATTTGTATATATATATATATACATATATATATATATACTAGAACCACGCGCGCGCTTAGGTTCTAGGGCGGCACAGGCAGAGCATTCGTTTGACGGAACAGGGGATGAGAGGAGTTGCAAAGAGAATCCCACCAGCTCTCTGTGCGTAGGTGGTTAAGCGCGTTTCCTCCCTCCACCCTTCCCTCTACCCCTTCGGGGAGGGTACCTCTGCCCCTAACCATCTCCCCTGGACCTAAATGGGGTCCCCGCGAGCGGTCAGATAGTGTCTTGGGGGCTTCTTGGGTTCTCATGGGGGCATCTTCGGGCGGAGAGCTCGATTTTTCGGTTCGTGTTCCCTCTCTTGGGCCCCTCTGAGGCCTTCTTGGGGCACTCTTGGGCCGTCTTGGGCGGATCCGGGGCGGTCTTGGGGCTCTCTTGGGCCGTCTTGGGGCTCTCTTGGGGGCATCTTGGGCCGTCTTGGAGCAGTCTTGGGAGCCTCTCGGGCGGTCTTGGAGCCTCAGAGCGAGAAACCAAAAAACACATAAAAAACAAATGAACAATCAACGATTTCTGCCTCTCGGGGCCGTCTTGGGAGGCCTCTTGGAGGCCTCTGGGGATTCTTGGGGGCGTCTTGGGTCGTCATGGGCGTCTTGGACCGATCTTTCGGCGACTCTGGACCCTCTTGGACCGTCTTGGAACATTCTTGGGCCGTCTCGAGGGCCTCTTGGGCCGTCTTGGAGCCCCTGGGGGGGGGGGGGTAACACGGGCGTGACCCGGATGTCCCGGGGGTGGGCCGGAGCCCCGGGGCCGGGGACCTGGTATTCATCCATATTATATATATATATATATATGGATATATATATATATAGAGAGAGAGAGAGAGAGAGAGAGAGAGAGTGTGTGTGTGTGTGTGTAGGACGGGGCGTGGAGGAGAAGGAGGGGCAATGCACAACGAGGAGGAGTGGGGGAGGGAGGGCGGGCGGGAGGGGAGAGCGGGATAATAAAAGGGAAGGGGGAGATGGGCGTGGATAAGGAGAAGGGAGGGGGAAGAGGAGATGGAAGTGATGCGGAGAACTGGGAAATATGACGAGGAACAGGAGGATGACAAGATGGACGGGTAAGCCCTCAGAGGCCCCCAAACGGCTCCCAAGACGCTTCAAAACCGCCTCCGAGAGGCTCCACCAGGCCCCCAAACAAATCCCCAAATGCCCAGAACGTCCCCAGATAGTGCCCAAGAAACCCACGACACCTCAACCGTAGACTCCCCGTCTCTTCTTGGCTCGGCGGAATGGCGTAAGCCTTTTGAACAACAAGAAGGACGGGGCGGAATAGAGGAAGCGGCACGACACAACAACTATGTTCACATCCGACGGGGACGTGTTGCAAGGCGGCATGGGAGTCCGTAAGCTCACGGTCTTGGGTTCAAGAAGTGTCCAGCCGTCCTGGAACAGACCTCCTCCTCCTCCTCCTCCTCCTCCTCCTCCTCCTCCTCCTCCTCCCCTGCTGTCCGCGCGTCGCGAACAAAAAAACGACGAGCTCGTTCGCCCCGCTTCGGGTCCTGGGCCCTCGCGGATCGATCTGGCCTGCGATCCTCCGCAAAGATGGGGTCGATGACTCCTACTGTGATTTTTACCGCGCCGCGACTTCTTCGCGTCCTCGGACGTCTGTGTCCTCGGACCGCCTCGTCATCTCGACTGGAGGGACCCATCGCATCGACGATCTTCTTTCGAGATGGGTCCCCCAGGGGCGGCGGTAACGACCACCGCTCCCCAAATTGTGGCTGGCCTGTCCTCCTCCTCGTTTCGTCGGACAAGCGTTGGCTGGCGTGAACCGTCGCGATTTGATGGCCGCGATCCGACAACAAAAAAACATGAAAGGACCAAACCGAACCAATAACCGATAACCGTGACCGAACCAAACCAACACAAAAAAAAACGAAACGGACCGAACCGAATTCGTTCAGAACCGAACCAAAGGGAACCGAACCGAACCAGAACCGGAACCGAACCGGAACCAGAACCGGGTGGCCCCCGAACCGAACCGACGTGAACCGAACTGTACGTCCCAACCCAGCCCACACAGGCCCGCAGGACGACGACCCCCCGTACCCCAACCACCCTGGAAGACGACGAGGCTTGAGGCAGCCAGTGCCAAAGCTCGAGCAAATATGTGCAAGCGGTGACGATGATCACCATAACGAATATGAGGACGTCGGGGCAGGTCGGGGCAGGTCGGGGCAGGCCGGGGCGGGTCGGGGCGGATCGGGGCAGCCGGGGCAGGTCGGGGCGGGTCGTCCGCGGCGGACCGCGGGAGGGCGGGCTTTTTCGGCGGCCCCCCCCGCGCGAGGGCAGGGGGCCGCCGCCAGTACCCGGGTTCCCGCGGGAACCACCACACCAGCAGTCCACCGGCCACCCCCCCTGTCGCGACCCCCCCGCCGTTGGCGACCGGTTGTTACTGTGGCCCGTTGGGTGTTAGTGTGGCCCGTTGGGTGTTAGTGTGGCCCGTCGCGCGGCGGGATGGGAGTTACTGTGGCCCGCGCAGGCCGCTCAATGAAAAGTAATATGTAAAGGTATCTCATGTTAGATCTGGAGAGATTCGCAACCCTTAAGGGAATGCACTCCCGCGCAGGCAAAAGT